TGACTTGCAAAGCCACATTGTAATTCAAAACCAACTAATTTTAAAAACAGAAAATATAAAACAAAGAAGAACTGTTAAACAATGGCCAAATAACGAGTCCAATAACTGCAAATCACTGTAATATTCCAAATTTTGCTTTATTTTATATCTCCAGCAAAACCTCTGTGAAAATATTATCGGTATTCGATATACTAGCGAGAAACTCTCAAGCTGACAGATTCTTCTCTTCTACACATACAGGTGAGAAGTTTGAGCTACATGCAGGCACAGAGTCTACGCCCAGCGTGGTGGTCCACGTCTGTGACAGCGACACAGATGAGGAGGAGGAACCAAATAACAACCCTAAACCAAAAATCATCCAGACCCGACGCCCAGACCTGCCAGTCTCACACTGAACTCTACAGCTCCACACAGAGTCAGCAGGATTTATCCCCTCCACCATTTCCTTTGCAGGACCTCTGCCACCCTCCTTCAGAACCTTATTAAACACACAAGCAGGGTCTGAGGGACTCTGATCTGTGTTTCTCGTTCAGCACACACATGTATACAATACTCAATGTGCTGTCACACAATGTTTTTTTTATGTTGCAATACTCTGTGTTAAACATGGCCGCTCTCTGTAACTCTTTCCCAATCTGACTCTGTTGTAATGTCATCTGATCACCAGTTAGAGGCAGCATGTACCCGTCCCTGCTCTCACCTACATTTCTGATTGGCTCCTGGGCCGTGGCACATGAATAGTGTCAGATGTGCCTACTGGCTGATAGCTGGCTACTTGGCTTTGCTCTTGCACCACAACTATGAACCATTTGTACCCAGCAAGCCATTAATAATATTACGTTCTTCATAAGGGCATGCTAGCCACTAAATGTGGCTAAACACCAGCGCTGCATGTGGCACCCCTAGAAATATATCTTGCCTAACAAATTTCTGTCAATTAACCCTAATATGGCAAAAACAGTTCACTTTTGCATAGCAAAAAGTGCAGACCGCAAGAATCGTTCTCTTCAGGCCAGTGCATGTTCTGGTAGCAAACTACGATATTATTTCCCGCTGTGTATAATTGTTTGTGTCTCGCCAACAGTATTCTTACAGAAAAACGATGCTTTTCCGAATGATAAGCTGACATTTTGATCGCACCTTTCAATGGAACCTATATGAGTTGCTTCCTCAATGTGAATATTTTTTGTCGCGCTTGTGCCCTTTTCGAGACGGAACCCTTAAACCTAACTTTTTGTTCTGTAAGCTCCCACTACAGATTAATGACATCAATGGGTAATCAGATGTCATTGAATGAAATCCGTATTATGCATGGTTACTCGTTTCTAGAATTTAATGTAGTTGTCCCAAATCCATAGCTCTCCTCGTTGTCTGTGAGACTTCATTCGCACACAAATTAATTTCTAATAATGTCAAAGAAAATGGATAGGATGCTACTGAGACAGATCTTCCAAGTGCTATTACACAGTGGGTAACAAAAAGCAAATGTTACGAGGGTAATGTCGACCAATCTTATTCAGTCAGTATCTTTTTGCTGTGCCTAACTCATTTACGGATTATTTAGCTAAAAAATAAAAAACATCTATATATCCAAAGTTCATAACATCAAGGCATGCACAAACCATATCCGTAGATTTGAGTCGCAAAGGCACTATACCCGAGTAGTTGGCAAATGCACTACAAGAAAGCATTAGTTGGTTATGGTATAATGGTTATATTATTTCTTCCAAAATATATAAATGACGCTCATCCCGGACAGTCCATCAACACTGTGATGTGTCATTACTGTAATGCTTGACTGATGCCCTATGTTGAAGTATTATTGTACGAGCATGTTGTAAATTTAAGGAGGTTATCAGGCTTAAACATCTGTTGTTCAGTGTTCACAACTTCTTAAGGGCGGTAGCCACAACTGTTTTTCCTCAAATTTCTGTTGAATTGGATTGTTCTTTGGTCTAAATGCTGTTGGTTTGCGACTCGTCTGTCTGTGTCCATTAGCCTGAAAGAATGTAGAAATAGTACACCCCATCCCCGTGAAGCAGTGACTCTTTCACTGTTCTGGAAAGAGGGTACTTACTGCTCTCTTTTGACATCACCGTCTGCATTGTGACACAGATGTTTCCTTATGCTACCGCAGCCTCACGCCTTATTTGATTTAGTTAGCAGTGCACACTCTGGTCCGCTTCTCTGAAAAAGAGGTACAGGATCAGTACATGTCAATAGGATAAATGTGTAAATGAATGGGACAAGAGCAATACATCAAAACCGATACCAACCAACCGTCCACTGCCTTGGACTTTCCCTTCCAATCAGCTCTTCCCATATTCTTTCCTCACGACATCAAAAATCTCTAGCAGTCTCACACGCTGCCAGCCTTCCTTACCGTCATGTAATTTAAGATTTTTGTATTGTTCTGTATTGCACTTTCTTATTCACATAACTGTACACAGTATCATTCAGTAACTGTATTTCCTTTTATTTTTCATGTACTCCTGAAGACATGATATTATCTATGTTCTTAAAGTCTTTGATCTGAAGTTAGTGTCACTGATGTTGGGAAACAATATCTGTATTGTGTATACTCGTGCAAGACCATTGGTGATCTTGTCATCTACATGTGCGTCCTGCCTGCCGACACTAAGGAGACATATCTGTATATATTAATCAATAATATTTTTACTGCATTTTTGTACAAATATTCATGGTAGCCATGTACAAGTAGTTGAGATGATTCTTTGTTAGTATTAAAAAAAGTTTGGTTTTAAACCTCTGGTGTGGTCTGATGACTTGTGAAGATGCAGTATAGATAGATCAAAATAAATGTTAAATAATTTATGAATATTTAATTATGGTATATGAGACAGGCATAGGCTAAAATAATATATCTATTTATCTCCAATGCCCATAGTCTCATCATGGCCAAACATTGTCTGTTTTATCGTCCTTGCCGATATATTGGCATTTCACTAGTATTTAGTAAATTTATTTTACGAGTAAAAGGGTAAAAGGTCACGAGTCACATTAAACATTGACAACACAGAGGTAACATTATATATACCTAGAAAGTAAACACAAGGTTCATGAGGAGTAGGTTAGACTTGAGTTGTCCATTGGTCCAATTTAGATATTTTAATGAGGAAACGAACAAAATTGTCACCATTAATCAACTGCCACAAACGATGTCTGCCGTTTTTGCGCGTCATCGCCTGCTGGTTTCTAAGGCGATGCCGAGGTAAGGCCAGTCAGTCAGTTGTCAGTTGTACGGAACATATTTATGTTTTAGTATATGGCTTGCAGTCTTATATTTCTATTAAAATGCTTTCAGGTCAGACTTATTTTCAGGCTAGTTTCAGGAGTGTTACTGAATGCATTGTTCGACTGTCACATGGGAAACTTCTTGAGATTGGTTTGCGACGATACAGTCTATGCTTGTACTACAATAACGAATTAAACTGCCTAATATACATCATTACTTATAAACAATGGTATATTACCTTTGTGGACAATATCGTTTCTCCCTCGGTAACGATTCAAGATAATCTAAATATCTGAAAACTGAGCACATGTGGGCCTAATACAATGTTACGATAAATAGCGAATCGTTCATTCGAATCGATTCTTTCCTGTGAATTGCGTAAACCTGTTGTGAAAACGGAATCTTTCAGAGTGATTCTCGAGTCAACAACTCATTACTACGGAAGTTCTAAGCGGCCATGCATTATTTTTTTTTTCCTTCTTGTTTTCTCGTTATAACGACTTATTTTCTCGTTATATTTAAGCAACAATTCTACCCCCATACTTGTACAACATACACAAATTCTGCTGTGTGAATGCAAGAGGCTGTGTTTGTTTGTGTGGAACTGCAGTCAAGTCTTTAATTTAGGAGATAAAATATGCACTGACACTTTCAGAAAGGGACGAGAGCGCTTGTTTGCATGGCTGGGATGGAAGGAAACACATAGGTAGCGGACAGATGGAGGGTTGAATAGATATGTATCCGAATCGAATAGACAGATGGATCTAGAACAAGCACACAAACATGAATAGTGCAGTGGTGACTGCTTTAGTTAAAGGGTTAGTTCACCCAAAAATGAAAATTAGCCCATGAATTACTCACCCTCAAGGCATCCTAGGACAGGGGCGTAGATTACGCGGGGGTGCGGGGGACGTGTCCCCCCCACTTTTAATATCAAGTAAATTCGCCCCTGGCACTTTTTCGGGCAAGTGTGTTTGCATAGAGGTTTTCAAGAGCCGGTGTGAATAAATATAGATTTAAAGTCAAAGAGACATGATAGTCTGTGCATGATCTGATGTTTTATTTGGACCAAGAATAAGGCGAGATGAACATTCACAGAGCGCAGTGTATGTTTCATTCATACTCGAAGCCGGAGGGCCCTCTCGAGCAGAAAGTCGTACGAGGAAATTCCTAATATGGACAAAAGTGGCCAGCTATCACTGTATGAAAACGTTTGGAAACATGAAGACATTAAACATACGATTGCGACAATATATGGTTTATTTGTGTTTGTCAAGTCATCTCCAGGTAATAAATAAAGTATATGAACAATGCAGTGCTAATTGACATAGCATTTATTACAGTATAGAAACTATTCTGCCTTATGTGATTAAAAAAAAGTGTTTGTAGTATATAAACAAATCATTATTATTGGTTATTGTATTGTGATTTCAAAGCTAAATTTTTAGCATCATTACTCCAGTCACACGATCCTTCAGAAATCATTCTGATATTCTGATTTGCTGCTCAAAAAACATTTATTATCATTATGATGTTGAAAACCGCTGAGTAGAATTTTTTCAGGTTTCTTTGATGAATAGAAAGTTCAGAAGAACAGCATTTATCTGAAATAGAAATATTTTGTTACATTTATGAATGTCTTTATCATCACTTTTGATCAATTTAAAGCATCCTTGCTAAATAAAAGTGTTCATTTCTATAATTTCTTCTCCAAAAAAATAAAAATTATACTGACTCTAAGCTTTTGAATGGTATAGTGTATAATGTTACAAAAGCTTTTTATTTCACATAAATGCTGATCTTTGGATCGGTCAATCACAGGACAGGAGAAGCATGTTAATTTTTACTCTTCCGTCCTATTGGGCAGGAGACCCCGGTGCCGCCCATTCCACAGTAGCCGTTGGGGTTCTTGCTGAGGTACTGCTGGTGATAGTCTTCTGCATAGTAAAACTCCTTAGTCATTGCTATTTCTGTCGTGATGGCTCCAAAACCCTCTTCAGTCAGCACCTGATGACAGAAGGCCATTTATGATCAATATACAGTGACATTTAGCATATTTGAGCACATTTAACCTGATGAGATCAGTGTAATTTTGTTGTAGCCTTAAGTGAAGTTCATATGTTAGAACAAAATAGAAGAATAAAATGAAATCAAGCTTTTTTTGTTTTAAGTCTTACTTAAGTTAAATGTTGAAATCAAGGTTTCCTTTACTAAAAGTTATTTTTTTATAACAATTGTCCATTGTCTTTACCTTTAAAAGTAAACAATCTATTTTTGTCTTTGTAGCTTTAAGATCTTTTTATATATATATATATATAAATATGTATATGTATTACATTATTGTAAAGCCTACAGTAAGACACTTTTTAACATTAGTATAATAATTAATAACTTTTAGGTTTGGCTATATTATTCTGTTATGTTTAATATCCTGGTGTTCTCTTCCAGGCCCATAGTAGATCCTTTGTGAAGCAGTACAGCATTCATTTAGTGAGAGACCCAGAAAAAGGGAGTAATGGGGATTTCTAAATTGAGAGGGAAGGGCAGATGTTCACTTCTCGTTCCAGATGTTGAAAGTAGTCCGTTAGGAGGATTATGGTTAGGATGAGTACCCTGCTCTCCTAATGCCTGAGGCCACTCCAATGATCCCCGCAGCATCCACGGCTTCCACATGGCTGGTGCGTGGAGTCTATATTGATCTGCCCCTGTTTGTCTCTCTCTCTCAGTCAGAGTTTGATTGTTTGGGGTCGATGAGAGACAGCAGTCGGACTGTGGCTTTTGTGAAACTAAGAGATCCCTGCACCTGATTACCTTTTCACAACCCACCTTCACCTGTGGACAGTCTGACCCGAGGACTGAACTTAACTGAAATTAATAAAACAGATAGTTGTGATGCTGAAATCTGATTGGAACAGCCACATTAAAAGTTGTTATATAACCAACTGTTGCTGCACATCAATTCTACATTAACACCAACAGTCTAAAAAAAGTCTGTAAAAATAGGGCCCAGTGTACTGTGGTAATATGAAGGAATTTTCCAAAGGTGTTTTACACATATTTTGAATTACACATAGCATCGTGTTCTGTTTTAGTTAAAGGGGTCATATGATGCGATTTTAAAATTCTCCTTTCTCTTTGGAGTGTTACAAGCTCTTGGTGCATAAAGAAGATCTGTAAAGTTGCAAAGACTAAAGTCTCAAATCCAAAGAGATATTCTTTATAAAAGTTAAGAGTCAGCCACACCTACCTAAAACGGCTCGTTCTAACACTCCCCAACATACCTACGTCGCTCTGTGGGAAGATTTGCATAACGCCGCCCAAATGTTCACGCAAAGAAAGAAGGCGTAACTTTTATTCTCACGGTAGTATTGTTGTTGCCGCCGCCATGTCGTGAAGGCACTGTGTGATTTGTTGTGAAAGCGAAACTACTTTGTTTGGTCTTCCAAAAGAGGACGATATCTGCTTCGTCATGCCTGGAGCTGATCCGTGCTGGTCGCTGAAGAAATACTACAACTTTGTGCTGTGGATCGCCGGATCTGCTTTCACCGTGGACGAAGCGGAGTCCAGCCCAGAGTCGTCACATGTCCTTCCGGACACTCCTTCGTCGAAATCGCCGGCCGCGCCGTTCTCAAGCCCACCGCTTGAGAACGCTCACGCTAAGCCGGGGCTTCCGCTCACGCTAGGCCGCTGTGCTTTTCGTTGTGAAAGCGAAACTACTTTGTTTGGCCTTCCAAAAGAGGACACGACTAGAAATCAGTGGTTAAGTTGTATTTACAACACTGTTCCAGAACACTTCAACCCAAATATTCAGATGTGTGATGCACATTTTGCGGAGGTTGAGGACTGTTTCCTGTGAGAGTAGCCTACAATGCCGTTGTCTGTTTCTATAAAGTGGGGCAGTTCCAACTTTGCAAGGACAGTCTGGCGCTTCTGACTCGCAGTTCTATTATAAGTTATGAATAATTACATTTTATAAAATGATATACATTTAATTCTATAATTTTAATATAATTGATCATATTAATGTAATATGTATATTAACACAATTTGAAAAGTTTGATTTAAAAAACATTTAATTTTTTTACCACAGACTAATAACATAAAAGCATTTTATTGCCATAATTTATTAAAGCTCCACTTTGTATCGTGGTCAACAACATCCCTTGGTAAATGACTGTACCACACTGCCTCAGTTGGCTTAATGTTCTTGAGTCCTCTGCCTTTCTCATCTTTGGGGAAAAAAAGTGCGCAAACAACTTTCTCAATTCTTGACACTGTGACACCTGACACGCTTTCGTGCAAAATTACACATTGAAAAAGCACAAAAGTGCTTAGCAACTTTTTCTGTCACCAACCTTTCCCATTCTCTAACCCTTTCTCTCTGTCTCTGCGTCTCAGTGCCTGTGTGAGAGGGAGGGTTGATTCTGTGAAGGAACCTGCCAACTACCACATTTTGCTGACCATCTGGCAAGAAGCAGTTACGCACCTGTTAGGAGCAGCTGCAGGAGACAGGAGCTAGGTACAGACATATCATCTCTCTCTCTGTCTCGCTGTCTTTTTATAAAGTCCTAGCAAACCCTGTACATCCATCCATCCATCAGGTGCCCTGAGGGGCCACAGGGAGCTCAGCCAGTGAAGACAAATTAATACAGGTTCAACTGGAAGGCATGTGGGCAAAATGTGCCTGCTTTCACCAGATGAAAAATTTCATCCTGTGCAGAAAATTGAGGTTGCCACAACATCACGGAATTTGAAGAAAACGCTTACAATTTAAAAAATTGACACCTGCTGACAAGACCAGCATGCATTTCCATGCTGGCCCAGGCTGATTTATTATAGTTAGAAAAAATTATTTGGTGATGCTCGTGGATCTTAAAGTTAAGCCAGACTAATTATAGTAGTCTTTTCTGACGTGTGGATACTTTTGAAAATAATACATGAGATGTTTCTTTTAGAGATGCACAGGTTGTGAACCAAATTGTGACTATATGAGACAAAAGAAAACCTTGTGAGAATAATTTAAAATCTATTCAAGAAAAAAAGTTTTTTGCATCTATGTGAGATATATATATTCTCATACGTGTTTCCTGCACGTAACAATGAACACAGCGTGCCACAATGCCACAAAAGACTCTTATCCAACCAGTTATTTTTAATGAGTTGGTCAAAAAGATTCATAAAACAGGTCTCAAATTCATTGTGCAAGTTATTGTTCTGAATCAGATCCACTGAATCAGTGAATCATTTAAAGCTGATATTGAGTTCACAACTGACTTTCTCACTGAACTGAGTCATTTTTATTAAAAAAAAAGAGTTAAGTGCAATTTAGTACTAACTTTAACTAACAAGAGCATTTATTATTCTTGAAAATGTTAATTTCTACAAATACTTACAGTGGGGCAAAACTAAAAATGTTGTACATATTAACATTACTACATTATGAACTAAAAATAAACAATAGTATTTTTTATCAATGAACATCAATCAAGATTAATAAATGCTGAAAAAAATATAATATTTATTATTTATTATAAATTATTTGTTTGTTTTTCATGTTAATGTATGAATATATTATTATTATAAAGTTAAGAAAAATATTATTATATATTATATTATTAGTATTACATATTGCATACATAAAAACACATAAAAATCAATATTGCATGTACAGTGGGTATGGAAAGTATTCAGACCCCCTGAAAAAAGATACAAAAGCTTTCAGTGGTGTGGAGATCTTTCAAAAGATACACCTTTGTACCTAGTAACTTAACTGTGCATAATAGCACCTAAAGTGTACATATTAGTACCTTTTGAAGGGGTTTTGCCCTAGTGAACCCATGAGTGTAGTTTCTGCTGGTGAAATAGTTCTCTGCTATCTTATCTCTTTCTGTTTTGAGTCAGTAAACCCATCTGACAAAGCCTAGCAATGCCTTCACACTGGCTAAATAACACAGCACGAGTACTCCAGGTCTGTACCATCAACCACCGCTCTCAACGGTCAAGTGCCAACCGGCAGCTGGCCAAGCTGGCATTGGCCAAATGCAGCAAATCCCAGCACAAGGTCTGGCTCCACCCATCAACATACCATCACCAGCTCACTCCAACACATGTGCAGCTATTACCAGGAACAGTCACCAAGGAGACGTGCTGTTGGGCAGCGTGGCACAGTTTTGTGCTATCTGAGAGAAGGGGGATATGACCAATTTACTGATAATGGCATATCAAGATGTCAATTTCCATTTCTACCTTTTGGAACACAGATACAAACAGCTGAAGCAAGAACCTCCCTTAAAACAGACCAGAGCTGTGAGCCAAGAGCCTGTAATAATGGAGAACGTTAAGATGAGTTTAATTTATCAGGTTCATTTAGGAAACAGGCAGTATTATTACACTCGGTCTGGAATACTTGATTTTTGATTGGTCTATCGTGCCTCTTGTATTCACTACACATTCTATTTTCATGCAACTGCAAGAACATCTAATTGGCGCCATCTTTTTAGAAAGAAATTAACTTTAACTTTAATTCAGTAAGGATGCGTTAAAGTGACCGTAAATACTTGCATTATTCCAAACAGTTATTTTGAACACTCTATTCATCAAATAATCCTGAAAAACTGTTTAGAATACAGTTAATGCTCAGAAATTTTTCTTAAGCACCAAAGTAGTATATTAGTATGATTTCTGACTGATCATGTGACACTGAAGTAATGCTGACAAATTCAGCTCTGCGATCACAGAAATAAATTACTTTTTTTTAAAATTATATATAGATTTTTGATTGGTCTATCGTGCCTCTTGTATTCACTACACATTCTATTTTCATGCAACTGCAAGAACATCTAATTGGCGCCATCTTTTTAGAAAGAAATTAACTTTAACTTTAATTCAGTAAGGATGCGTTAAAGTGACCGTAAATACTTGCATTATTCCATTCAGTTATTTTGAACACTCTATTCATCAAATAATCCTGAAAAACTGTTTAGAATACAGTTAATGCTCAGAAATTT